ACAATACGTCTCTCTCTGATCGCAGTTCAATTACTCATTACCTACACACACATTATTCTATCACGTTGTCACCCTCTTTTATATACCAGGCTACCCTATATCCAGTAAATGCTAGAGCATTCGCCAAGGTACAGGATAGTTCTAGAAAGCAGAGGGCGTGAGAATAGTCACGTGATCTCGCTGACGCAACAATATTTTAGAAAACGAGAGGACCACAAAAGCCGAGGTTTACGGTACATCACTTAATCCAGTCCACCGGTGGCTCAGCAGAAAGTCTGAATGCTTATAACGCTAAAATCTGGGCTTGAAGATCCGCGGAGAGCAGAGCACAGATAGCCCATTGTGGAGCCTTTTACTTACAAAAACTAACAAACAAACAGTTAACCCCTATAGTCCATAAACCTGAAACTAATTGCGAGTTACAAAACTGACAACTTTAGCAAAACAAACATTTAAAAAGCCTACGTGATTAATGTTTTAAAATCACTCGAATAAGTGTTAATTTAATAATTTTAAGGACTGAAATTATTAACTTACAAAAAATCCAAACATAGAGTGATCCGCTCCTAACCCCCGTGAACCACTCCATTGAATGTCAGATCACTTCATTACGTATTTTTTTTATTCTAAAGCATGAGGGTTAGATGATATACGCTTGACAACAAAAACCTCTAACTCAGAGTTTCTCAAATTGGGATCCGCGAGTCATGAGTCATGTCCGAAATTTCATAAAATATTAAAAAAAACGATTTATACAATAAAAATATTTTTTTCAAACAAAATTTATATGAATTAAAACATTTTAATTTAGTTATCAAAAGTATATATATATACTTACCAAAATAGAATTTAACAATAGAAAAGTGAAATCTTGATAATAATTTAACCACTGAAAATCGCACTTAAATTATTATGTAAAATAGTATCGTAAAATTACCCAGAATATTTTGCCATCTACCGAGAATTAAAGTAACTATCAACTGTTGCTGTCACCGTTCCAGAGCTTGGAGTTTGGCTTGAGGCGGCATCACAATCTGAATGTACATGTGTTAAGTGGGTGTATTTCATGATTAATCAAGTTAGTATTATTGTGCTATACTAAAGTTGTAACAAAATACCGAGGTAAGGAAAACTAGTATTTTCTAAAACTTAAATACTACTGGAAAAATTAATTTTCATCCTAGAAAATTTGAAAAATCATATTATACTTCATATAAAATAAAACTAAAAAGTGTGTGTAATTTTTTTTTTATCTAAACGAAAGTTTCTATATCATTACTAACTTCGTACCTTATTATTAAGATTATTTTTAAATTAATAAGTTTTATGACTATAAATATGTGCAGCATGTACTATACGTTTTTGTCGTAACGAAACTACGATCTTAAAATAGGCTTACAAATAGTAATAACAATCGAGTAGATATGGTGAATATAAGTAACAGTGACTACTTAGGCTTAGTAATCGTATTGTTACGTCTCCGTTGTTAATTAATTTTTCCGTAAATTCTTTGCAACTAAACTTTAGCGACACAAGTCCTTTCTTAAATAAAACTGGTTTATTCTTTCTGAATATAACTTTACGATACACTTAATTTCAACATTCGCGCTAAAACAAACGCTATAACTCACGAACGTTAACTTCAACAATACTCTTTCACTGCAGATCAATTACTCACTACCTACACATTGTCCCGTCACGTTGTCACCATCTTATATATACCAGGCTACCCCCAATCTCAGGAAGGTTCGAGAAAGAAGTGGCGTGGTACTAGTCACGTGACCTCGCTGACGCAACACTATTATCGTAATCACATAGGCCTAATAAAACCGTGATCAATTAGGCTTAGACATTTTGCTCAGTAAAAAGCAAACCCATCTTCAGCAGAAGGAAAAGGTTACAACACATTTTAGTGCATGTATTAGTAATTAGAGAAAAACATCTCGGTTTTGAGGAAGGGAGAATATGGATGTTTTACAGGGGGGTCTTTTGTCACCAAGTCCACAGCAAAGTACTTGATATCAAAGGCAAAACATAATCAGATGTATTATTGTGAAAATCAACTTTTCAGTTTTATACTAGTTGAAATTTAATATAATTTAAATAAATATATATATGTGTGTGATTAGTCGCTTGTTCTTAAGCGCAAAGCTACAATATGCGCTATTTGTACTGTGCCCACCAATGGTATCGAAATCTGATTCTTAGTGTTATAAGCCTACAGAACTTACTGCTGAGCCACTAGGAGGCAGATGAAACTGTACAATAACGAAAAGGTTTGTTTCGGAAATTCGCATAAAACTACAAAACACCTATTTATGATCGCCGTCCCTAATTTTGAACTGATATGTTAAAGGGAAGACAACTAGTGAACAACACCTACCGCTAACCTTTGGGCTACTCTAATCGAATAGTAGGATTTGATTGTCGCTCTTATAACGCACCCACAGCCCCAAAGAGCAGAGCACGATTTTGTGGCAACGAGGGGCAAACCGTGAGCTCTCGGGTTCACAGGCTGGCACGCTAACCACTAGAGTACACCCGGTCCGTAACGAAAAATACATGAATAAAATTGTTAATTATATCACCTTACTTCAGGTATGAAAAGTTGTAGGCCTAAGTTTACAAATGGCGTTCAAACGGAAACATTTTGTTACTAAAGTACAGATAAATTTACTTGTACACACTAATCGAATCTAGTAGTTGAATACACTTGATAACTAACACCGATCCAAATACTTCATTGAAACTAAATATGCACTGAATTAATAACGAACTTAAAGCAAAACACTGACCCAATGTTTCACTGGTTCCCTTATTTATAATGTACTCTAGGCCTACCTTTTTAACTTTTCGATTTTCACGTAATTCACCCTCTAGACTCTCCTGCCACTTACCGTTTTTAATCACAGAAACTTCCGTATTTAAAAAAAAAGAAGTAAATGGACCGTTTTTGTTTTTCTCACACTATTTACCATGATTTTGTAAACCTTTTTTTTCACTAGCCATATTTTCGAGTGCCACCAGGATTGTATATTTACCCCTTATTGAATAAACATGTATATTTAATGATTACAGTAAGACCCCGCTTAGCGCCACCCGCTTTAAGCTGATTCGTTATAGAGCTCTTGTAACCTTGAGAGATTATTTTTTTCATGAAAGAGAAAAAAATTATGAAAATCCATAACTCTCTGAACACTACTTTTTCAGTAGAAGTGCACTAAATAATTTGTATTTAATAAAATAATGCAAAAAGTAGACAATATTCTGTAACCATCACAATATTTCTAACAATTCTAGTGACGCAATATGAACCCAACCCTAAAACGTTATCCATATACACAATATCATTCCCTTGGGGAAAAAAAAACATTTTCTTAGGGCCCCCCAGTGGCACAGCCGTATGTTTGCGAACTTACAATACTAGAAACCGGGTTTCGATACCCGTGGTGGGCAGAGCACAGATAGCCCATTGTGTAGCTTTGTACTTAACTTCAAATAAACAAACATTTTCTAAGGAAGTGATCTACAAATCTCTGTACAAAAAACAACGTAATATAATACGTCATTTGAAAGACAAAAACCTTGCCTGTCTATTGGTTATAACCAATATACTCGTAAACGTAAGAGAGAACTACATGTATTGACAAATCCGGAAAAAGAGGATGTGACAGGTGGGCGTGGCAGAAGGGGGTCTGA